ATATATATATATGTATGTATACATATGATGTTGAGCTTTAAAGATGAGCCTTTGATGGCCATTTGAGTTGAGCTTTCAGCAGAAGAGTAGAAAATCTGTTTTTGTCATAAATAGAACTTTAGACGAGCTTTTTATATTGTATATATATGATGTTGCTTCCATACATCCGTTACTCGGCAATAGTTTTGCAGCCTTATTGGTTGCTTGTTTGCTTAACAAATGGCACGTGAGTTGTTTTTACAATGTTAATATGGTTTGTTGGCAACCGGATAGTGTGGGTGGAGCTCACTATTTGACCCGACATTATTGTAATTTTCTGGTAGTGTGGATGGCATATAAGTAATGTTGCATATAGTTTGCTATTTGAAAAATCTTGCATTTTGTACGGACGTGGTTGTGCAAACGACGACGTAACATAGGATTGACATTAACATATGTTAAAAATAGGTCAATTCACAATTGCGATAGATTAAAATTGAGATGTAATAACGGTTATTATTTCTTTTGTAACATAGAGTTGTATTACACATTCAACTTGTTTAACAGTTTATTCGGAAATTTTTTTTTTAAGAGTTCGTTTCTGAATAGGATAAAATTTATATTAAATTCAGGTCCCGTTCTTTTTGCTGATTCGAGTTTAGAATTCGAATTTGACTACAGTAAAAAATTCTCACACAACATCAGTATTCTTAGTAGAAATAGGATTGTTTGCCTATAAAAGGATTGAGCTTGGTCACCGAACGCCATATCAAAAATATGTTTTGGGGTTAGCAATTTTATGTTTTGTAGTATTAGGGGGAAAAGAGCTCCGATTTTGCCGGTCAAGGAAAAGGCTTTGGGAATTATGGGTTGAAATTAAAAAATGAGAATTGAAGTATGTATAAGGTGGGTTATCTCATGCTAGTGTTGGTGGGCCGTTGGAACGTCGCCGAAAAGCGTTGTAGCCGAGAATTGAATGAACTCTCTTCTTTCTCTCCTTCTACCACACTATTCTAAACACACCATAAAATGGCCACACTCTAAAATATATAGCAACACCATATCTTATTTTAGGCTCACTTTAATTGGCCTATAATGCTTATTTTAATTGTATTGAGAGTTTATTTGATCTAATGGGGTGATCAAAACATTTATGAGAGAGGAATCCATAGGCGTCAAGTTAATTAACAAGCTGAGTGTTCATCCCATTATGAACAGTTATTTAACATATATGCATAACTAAATTTACATTAACAAAGTTGTCCGTTAGATACTTTAATAATAAATTATAGTGAATTATTATGATTATAGAAGTCCACATAAAAATATTCCAACATTAAGTTATGGTATAAGATAAAGAGGTTTAGTTGCCTTTTATTTTATTTTTTTTGTGAAACCAAATATTTTGTTTTTTTTTTTCTTTTTCAACTTGCGCGTGTAATTGTACAATAAAATGTTTTCATAAACTACAAATTAAACTCAAATCAAATCAAACAAGAGAGGAAAATAACATGAGAGTTTTAGAAATTCTTTACCAACGACATGACCAGCACCAAAATTCTTGACCAGTGGATTTGGGGTCCGTTTCCTCTTAATAGACTCTTCTTCCAAATTGGTGCAAGGATTAAATACAAAAATAGCAAATATAAGGAACAAGGTAGTTGATTTATAGTCTCTCTCTTTCTCGACTATTTTTTTTTTTCCTGCTACTAACATCCGTTGGAAAGTTCTTTTATTTTTTGGTTTGGCATATGTGATGTTATGTTGTGGGTGACTGTTTTCTATTTTGTTGAAAAATTGGTAAAGAAACTGATGAGTTGTTTGGTTGGGGGATTTATTATCTGATTCGAATTATGATTCGTAGTTCGTTACAGTATTTTCTCTCATAAAAAATACACGTAAATCGAAAATAATTCTAATCATATGGTTCTAATCTATGAACTAAATATCTCCTAAGATTTTAGATGGGGGATATTTGTAATCGTACTAATGATATGCATTCTCTGTCGTCGTCGTCGTCGTTATTATTATTATCTATTTGATCTCTAATTAGTTGTTAGAAGCACAAACGTGTATGTCTATTTTCAAGTTCAAATCGGGATTGATAATGCCTAGTTTTATTGTGAAACATATATTTTGGTTATGGGTTTTGATATTTGGGATGCTTGGGGTGTTTATTTCACCGATTTGAGTTTTTCTACAGTAAAAAACTTTTAGAAATAATCATATTTAACTTTTTTATTATAGTAAAAAATTATCACATAAAGTCACATCTCAACTCAAATTAAAAAATCGAATCAGCGAACTAAACAAGCCATATGGTCGAATATTGAAAAAACGTTGAATTAGAAAACAATCTCTGTAAATTTCTTAACAGTAAGTGCTAAGAAAAGTGGATGGATGTGCTTCTTATGTTTTGGTCTTATTCTATTTCTCTTGGAGCTCCTATACACAAAACTAGAGATGGCCCTACCCATATTTGTTGAAGAAATATGTGTGATCGGTTTTGTTCTGATGCTCCGACCAAAGGCTTAGGATCATTCTCCTGAAATGACTTCTCTCTCCTCTTCAAGTACTACTAGCATTTTTTTTTTAAAACTTCAACTTATTTACCCTACTTCTAGTATTAGAAGTACAATTGTATTTCGACTACGAGTAGTCTTCGAGAGATACATTCCGTACGTAAGACTAATCCACACACATGCGTAAGTATCTTTTTAAAAGGATTTGTTGTCAAAAATTGATACGTGTTGACTTCAATTACAATTCGAATCAATTGGCTTGGGGCTCCTATATATAGGAAAGACGTGTGATTAGTTTCGTTGTGGAGTAGAGAAGTTAGAGTGAGAGCGGTAATGCTTCGATCAAAGATTTAGGATCATTGCCCTAAAAAGCTCTCTTTATCCCTCTCACGTACTACAAGCTTTCCTATTCTAGAATTCTTTTGTTCTAGTACTTGAGAGGAGAGAAAGAGAACTTTGTAGGGCAAAGATTGCAAAATCTTTGATTCTGGGGTGAACTTTTAACAAACGGTCATGTCCATTATTTTCCATACAAGCAGTATCTCTGATCCTTTTTGTTTCTAGTTTTTTTCCCTCTATCTTTATATTTCAATTTGCACCGTATATGTATAGAATTATACGTGGAACTTATTTATATTTATGCGCCTTTCTGTTTTTTCCTTTTCGGTATTCTTTGTTTGTTTGTTTTTTTTTCCTTTTTTACTTTTTGTTTATGTGATTGATTATATGATGCCGTAATTACTAATTTCATGTGCTTTTTGCGATTGATGATATATATATATATATATATATATATATTTGGACCATGTGTGTGAAGTGCAGTATATTCATTCATCTCAGTTCCTTTATAATGAGACTCGTTATATTAAGGGTTTGTTTGCAAACTTTTTAAACTTTAGGGGGTGAATTAAAAATAATACTAAAATTCAGGGGTAACAACGAGATTAACCCAAGATTAAATTAAAGGTCTAAATTATTATTCTCAAAGATAAAGGTCAATTGCGATAGATTAAAATTGAGATATATGGGTTCGTTTAGTTTGCTGATTCGAGTTTTTAATTCGAATTGATATGTAATTTTGTGTGAGAGCTTTTTACTGTAGTAAAAAAGTTAGATGTGACTATTTCTGAGAGCTTTTTACTGTAGTAAAATTTAAATTCAGAAAAGAGGGAAGAAAATGAAAAAAAAAAAAGTGAAATCCGTTTTCAGAAAACAGAAAACGAAAACGAGAAAATGAAAACACCTTTTTTTCGTTTTCTGATTTCCACAAAAAGACAAAAACGTTTTTGGTTTTGTTTTTAAAAAAAATTTGCACCAAACACGTTTTTAACACCCGTTTTCATTTTTTTGTTTTGAAAACCGTGAAAAACGAAAATGAAAATACAAACAAACAGGCCCGATGTTTTGTAGTATTAGGGGGAAAAGGGCTCCAATTTTGCCGGTCAAGGAAAAAGGATGAATTCATATTTTGAAGCAAAGTAAACATAAAGAATTAAGGACTCAATCAAGACAATTTTTTAAGTTATGTACTGATACAATAAGAAAAAAAAATCTAGGATTACACGGACACAAGAAAAATAAACATATATAGATTTTTTGTGTATCATTTAGCGACCATTAGTTGTTGAAACTACTCGAACGGGAAAGTTTGTAATTTTTATTAAGGAGTGTGTTACAAATTGATTTCCAATTGTTTTATATCTGTATCAATAGGGTGTGGATTATCAACCCATGGATTGTAATTTGATCACTAATTTTCTTATTTGCTCATTGGGTTCCTGAAAAATGCAGACATTATTAGTGGGGTTAGTTTAAATGCGCTCTATGGTCCCTAAAATACACGACCAAATCAAGAAAGACCCTTTTTTTATTATTATTTTCATTTTTTTCAAGTTCATTTTTGGTTATTTATTATGTCAATTTAAATTATAATTTAAACTACATAATTTAAAATTTTTTATTTAAATAAAAAATTCAAATTAACAAAACTAAACCCGGCTAAAACTACCACGTTTGCTATCGTAGCACAGCATACTTGCCGATTCTTTTCCTAAAATATTTAAAAAAAGCGATTAGCAAAAAAAAAAAAAAAAAAAAGCACTGTATTTGTATTTTTACTTTTTTTCCCCTCTTTTATAATTATCCCATCTGAAGTGGGCTGAGGGGGCGATATGGGCCTTGGAGTCCGTGGCCCTACATGATGCGATTCCGAAGTTGGTTCCAACCGCCGCTAGCGACGAGAGAAAGAGAAACGGAAACAGAAATAGATATAGAGAGAGAGAGCGCCGGACAAAGTACCTTGCGCTCTACTTCTCTCTCTCTTTCAATTCGGCATCTCAACACTTTTTCTTCTCCTATTCCTTCTTACACCCATCTCTCTCCCTCCTCCTGTACGATCTTAGCATGTAATTCACAATTTATAATCATATATTTACGCAATTCCAACCAATTAATTGATTCATCTTTTGTGTTTACTTGTTCGGAATTCGTTAAATTCCTTTTCCTCGCGCTAATGCTTTTGTTTGATTTTTTGTTTTTTGTTTTTAAATAACTGAAATAGGTGGACAATTTTGGAGGGAGATCTGAATTTTCTCGTCGTTGAGCGCCCACTACACCATGATGACCTTGATATTCAAGGTAATTTTTTTTTATAAATTTTTTTTCTTTTGATGCGATAATTAAGAGTGCTAATGCCTTGTGCTAAATTGATATGGAGATCTGAGGAGAAGTTATTTTGTTTTTCTTTTCTTTTTCCAAATTTAGTTAATTGGAGATAGGGGTATTGATGTTTTTTTTTTTTTTTTTTTAAATTATAATATTATTTGTTTTGTGTGTCAGAAGTGAGGTGTGAGTCCTCTGATGGAATTTGCTTCATACGTTCTAAAGTAATTTAAGATGTGGGTTCCGTTTAGGATTAGATTATGATGCCTTAATTACGAAGGGGGTGGGAGGTTATGGAACTTGCTTGACTTTAATTTCCTATAATTGGCTGCAGTTAAACTTATCCCTTTATGTCAGTGCAAAAAAAAAAAAAAAAATGCACGTGTTATAAATATGTGTATTATATAGTTATAGTAAAGTGAAAGCACCATAAACTGAATTGTTGGGCCTTGGTTTCATATTGTTCTATAGCCAATAGTGTTTATGTCAGAATTCAGTATGAAGTGTAGAATAGTTACTCATAGCTTGGTTGTTAGGAATAAGGACACTACAGAAGGTGTATGGAACTCTTATTGCACGCATTGTCACAATTTAAGATGATTTATGTGTTTTTAGACTGTTCATTTGTTGTTTCTACCATTCTGAACCATGTTTATGACCATGTGGGGGAAGAATGCTGCTAGAACCAAGTCGACATAGTGATGGTTTTATTTATCATGTTCTATTATTATTTGATGACCTTGTACTTTCTTCGAAAAGTGGAAAAAAATACATGAGAAAAGAAAGAAAAACATGACTTGTAATACTCATAATACAGAACAAATTCCATATATCTGTTTTGTTCCCAACTTCTTCTTCTTCTTTGGGATTTGGAACTCAAGGCTTCAACATTGGAGGTGGATGTAGAACTTCTACTAGCCTAAGCCTGCAAATACCAAACCCTCGTGCTTTTTTGGGTATAGGAACTTGTGGTTTTAAATGTTGGGGTTTTGGGTGTGTGATCAATCATGAGATTGAAGGGATAAGATAAAATCTGAGTTAATACTCTTTAAAACTGTATGAACACTCTTGGTTTAGATGATTATACGATAAAATTTTATGTGCTGGAATTTTTTAAAAGTTCCATGTCTACCTTTGTATATAAAGAAATATTACTCTAAAATTGACTCATTCAAAATCCTGGACCGCTCAACACCTAACTCTTGAAAGTACTTGTGAGGTGGCTGCATTCAATATCACACTAGGTCCTGAATCGCAAAAGCAAAATTATCAAAATTGCAAAATACTTTGAATCCTCTTATATATGTCATTATGTTGTATATATCTTATATATGCCATTATGTTGTATATATCTTATTTGAATATACTTGAAACTCGTTTTTCTTACATCCTAGCACATATTATATTTGTTATTGTTTCAATTTTATAAATAACGTCTTAATACATTCTGAAGTGATTAATTGTAGCTAGCACATCATGAATTGATTAATAACGTTCTATTACATTGATTTTGATTTTTTTTTTGTTTTTTGTTTTTCTCTGGTTTTCTTTTCCCTTCCCTTGTTTTAATTTTTCCAAGGATACCTTATCCTCTTTCCTATGTACTTGATTCTTTATCCATGAAAGGAAGTTTTTCTCATCGGAACAAAAAATTGTTGCTTCTGTTGCAGAGACAAAGCAAAAGTACCATGACACATCCGTGGGATGCCTACATGGTGAAGCAATACCTCCAAACCTGCAAGATAATGGGAAATTAGGGGAAGGATCTTTGAAGCCGATAGACGAAACTGGTAGCCATTTTGTGGGTGGTATAACTGAAGGTGGGTCACTCAACACCACGTACACTATCCCTCCAAATGAAGCTTACCATAGACCATTCTACCAACAGGGTTATCATGTTTGGTCAGCTTATCATCCTGAGAATCAAAAGGCACAACAGTACCAGTTTTATCCGCTAGAAAACCACGTCTATCCTGTGAATCATCATGAATACTGTATTCCAGATGATAATAAATTTCAATATCTGCCCTTATGGAAGTTATCCCAGATGTATCAATCACAGTTTAATTTTCAAGAGTTTCAGTATTTTGTGGTTATAGATTTTGAGGCAACTTGTGACAAAGAGAAGAATCCTCACCCACAGGAGATTATTGAATTCCCAGCGGTTCTGGTGAATAGTATCACTGGGCAGCTGGAAGATCAGTTTCAAGTATATGTGCGTCCTACTCACAATCAACTTCTTAGTAATTTCTGTAAGGATCTTACCGGAATTCAACAAACTCAGGTAATGAGACTTTATTCCATTAACTTCTGTTATCATATTTCTCATGTTATCTTCTTGTTTGAAGTAGTGGGGAGTTCTAGGTTCCTTTCTAATAGAATAGAAGTAGCGTCGAGGCCAATATCCAATGGTTTTCTCCATGGATTTGCTTGCTTTACGTCTAGAAAGATGTACTGATATTTGAAAATAGATCTATATGCTTTCTAGAGATTTCAAATGAAGTTCTCTAATGGGATAATTTGTTCCAAACTGATTCTCTTCTAACTCATTTTAGGAGTGAACATTATTACTTATTAACTTCTTAGTAATCTGATCGGATCCAGGTTGACAAAGGCGTTCTCTTGAGTGAGGCTCTATTTCTGCATGATAAGTGGCTTGAAGAAAAGGGGGTCAAGCGAACTAACTTTGTTGTGGTTACGTGGTCAAATTGGGATTGTCGGGTGATGCTGGAATCTGAGTGTCGATTCAAAAGGATCCAAAAACCACCATACTTCAACAGGTATTATTTGTTGCTCCGAGAAACAAAAACTAAAGTTAAAATATCATTAGCATCTTTTTCCTAAGGGGCTGTTTGGCCGTTGGATATCCTAGAAAAGTATTCATTCTTTTCTGCGAGGTTTGGATTGTTTTTGTCCTTTCTGGAGTCTGAAATTAGTGGATTATAAGAGCAGGACTTAATTTTTGGTAATCTGTTGAAGTCATACTTAAGTAGGAATTCATTTTCACCTGTTGAGATTGCTCTCTGTCTCTCTCTCTCTCTAACGTTTGTCAAGATCGTTAGAAAGTTGGAGTCACCCGTGTTCCTTTTGTTGACTGAAAATTCTAGTCTTTTTGCTCAGCTTATATGGATATTCAAACGCCTCAAGGAAAGTCAGTTAAAGTGTGGTAATATCATATATATATATATATATTTTTTTTCTTCAGGAACTTCTTTTTGGAGTCAAACTAGTAAAAAGAAATTTACTTTTGTTCTTGTCAAATATTATCGTCTTTGCAAAACAAGAACAGTGACAAAGAAGTACCGAAGTTTACAATTCTAAAAGTAGGACTAATGCGTCTCTGCTGTTTATGAGTTTGAAAATTTTTCTTTAGTATTTATTATTTGTGTTTTGTATCTCTATGCTTCAACCCGTCGAATGGAACTAATATGTTCGGCTTTCTTCCATCTACAGATGGATCAATCTGAAGATCCCATTCCATGAGGTATTTGGAGGGGTGAAGTGCAACCTGAAAGAAGCTGTTCAGCTGGCTGGCCTCACTTGGGAAGGCCGTGCTCACTGCGGCCTTGACGATGCTAAGAACACTGCTCGCCTGCTTACCTACCTAATGCACCGTGGATTCCAGTTTACCATAACTAACTCACTGACGTGGCAGCCCACGGATCATCCGTTAACACTGCAAAAGTTCCCGGAGTACCAATCGTGCTTCATCCCACCCCCTTACAGGATGAAGCACCAATCGGTACCGTTGGTCCCCTTTCATCAGATCCAGATCGGGCACGGCGAAGAAGAAAAATGCTTCTGCGGGGTGCAAAGACGAAAACAAATGGTGCAGAAACCGGGACCAAGTCATGGCTGCTTCTACTTTGGCTGTGGTAGGGCTCCCAACGGAGGACGCTGTTGCAATTATTTTGCATGGGCTACAGTATAACTGAAAGTCTTATAAGTTTACCATTTTAACTAAATTCTAAAAAAGAAAAAAAGAGAGAAAAAAAATCGACAATAGCAAGATGCTTCTGGAGGGTGCCTGAGTCATTTCTAGTAGGGCTCTGACTTGTAAAGTTTGACTTCTTGAAACGAGAGATGGTATGCCTACAAAAAAGAAAAGAAAAGAAAAGAAAAGAATGCATTTTGCAAGGCTGAGGAGCTTTAGGACATGGTTTTTCTTTGTTACTGTTCGATCTTATTAGCTTTGAATTAGCAGAGGCTGAACTGCTAAATAATGGATGTGATTCTACGACGCCATTTCCTATAATATTTATGTAGAAAATCTGGCAATCTCTGATTGCTGTGTTCTCCATTTCAGGCTCTTCATGCTGTGGTCATGTTGTGGGTGAGTGTCTATATAAAGCTCTATATCTTGTGTGCAAGTTTCAACCGTGGAGAATTCTCACCAAAAGAACCAAAAAGAGAAAAAAGAAAAAAGAAAAAATGTTGCGACTGTGCTCAAAGCACAAGCGGAGGCCGGAGACCAAAGATCCAAAAGGAAAATATTAAATCAGCAAAAGAGTAATCATAAGTAGCGCAAACTTAAGTCTCGTTCGTTTAACTGATTTGAGTTTTCAGTTTTAAGTTTTTACAGTTAAAAGTTCTCAAAAAATGTCGCATTTAACTTTTTCTGTTACAGTTAAAAATTCTTAAAAAATGTCACATCTCAGTTCGAATTAAAAACTCGAATCTGCGAAGCGAACGAGACCCAAAAATGACACAAATATATTGTGTAAAATCATGTACTTTTTTTTTAATATTTTTAAAGAAAATTAAACACGAAGATAAGCTTTACCTAAAAACTACTCTTTTCTTTCTTAAAAAAAAAAAAAAAAAAAAAAAAAAAAAACACTTTTTAAACCAAAAAAAAAGACCCTAAACA